AATGCTTATTGCTGATTGGCTATCACTTAGTAGCTTGATTGAACCATCTATAGGAACCTTTAACTCAACTAGCAATCGTTTCAGCCATATTCCTTCACAAATCCCTTGAGCCATGGCTCTAAACTCAGCCTCAACACTACTTCTTACCACAACTGACTGCTTTTTACTCCTCCAAGTTGTTAAATTACCCTAGACATAAGTACACAACCCTGAGGTAGATCTTCTATCAGTTATAGATCCGGCCCAATCTGCATCTGAGTATACTTCAACTCTTGCTGCATTTTTCTTAAAAAACAGCCCCTTACCAGGTGTCATTTTTAGGTATCTCAGAATCCTTTGAACCGCTGTCATGTGTTCCTCAATAGGATTATTCATGTACTGACTTACAGCACTCACCGAGAAGGCAATATCAGGTCTTGTATGAGAAAGATAGATCAACTTCCCTACAAGTCTTTGATATCTCCCCTTTTCAATAGGAGAACTGTCTTGAATTGACCCAAGTTTAGTAGTAGAGTCCATTGGTGTGTCAGCTGGTTTGCAGTCAATCATGGCAGTGTCTTTCAGTAGGTCTAACGCATACTTTCTTTGTGAGACAAAAATTCCTTTCTTTGACCTAGCTATCTCCATCCCAAGGAAGTACTTTAAGTTTCCTAGATCTTTGATCTCGAACTCTTTTGTAAGAACCTTTTTAATTCTGGGTATTTCCTCTTCATAGTCCCCTGTGAGTACAATATCATCCACATAGACTATTAATACTAACATCTTACCAACAGAAGAATGTTTTATGAACATTGTGTGATATGCATGACCTTGAGTGTACCCATGTTGTTTTAGCACCTTAGAAAATTTCTCAAACCATGCTCTTGGAGATTGTTTGAGATCATACAACGATCTCTTCAACCTGCATACCTTTCCTCTATTAGCATCATTTTCAGTCCCAGGAGGAACCTCCATATACACCTCTTCTTCTAGATTGCCTTTCAAAAATACATTCTTGACATCTAGTTGGTAGAGAGGCCAGTCAAGATTTGCTACTAGAGATAGTAGAACCCGGATAGAATTCAACTTTGTCACAGGTGCAAAAGTTTCCAGATAGTCAATGCCATATGATTGAGTGAACCCTTTAGCAACCAATCTTGCTTTAAACCACTCAATGCTGCCATCAGCTTTGGTTTTCACAGTGAAGACCCATTTGCAACCAACTGGCTTCTTTCCACTCGGCAAATCACATAGTTCCCAGGTTTGGTTCTTTTCTAGGGCTTTCAATTCTTCTTCTACAGCCTTTTTCCATTATGCTACTGACAATGCTTCTTGCACGCTATTGGGAATGTGTATGTCTGAGATTTTTGCAATAAAAGACCTATACCCTTGAGACAGCCCATCATAACTGACATACTTGCTAACAGGATATAACGGCCTACTCCTGCAGTCTCTGACCCCTTTTCGAATTGCAATAGGCAAATCATCATCAGTTTGTGCACTCTCAGAATCTGTACTGTTAGAAGAATTTTTATCTTCTGCAATAGGCAAATCATCATCAGTTTGTGCACTCTCAGAATCTGTACTGTTAGAAGAATTTTTATCTTCGGCCTGTGTATGAGTTTCATGAGACTTGGGCTCAGGTTCAGATGTTTGAAGTGGTATAGGTTGTGTCTGAACGTCTGTTTCCTTCTGTCTTCCCCCGTCTCCTTTGATAAATAATTATGTTTTGATCATCAGCAGTTACTGTAGGTTTCTTAGGCTCACTAACAAAAGGGGATAAGTTGTTATCATTATCAGTCTGATTAGATTGAACAACACTAGGATGATCTAACAAGTCTGATTTTGGCTGACTAGGTTGAGGAGGTTGTTTTAGACTGACACTAGGGCTGTCAAGAAATTCAATATCATAAGGAGTCAAAAACACATCATCCAAACTCTCAATTGTTGAAGATGAAGTCAAAGTAGGCCTTTCAGATCCCAAAAACTGATATTCACCTAAATTCTCCCCCTTAAAAGCAGTTTTATGAAAATGTGGAGTTGTCTCAAAGAAAGTGACATACAAGCTGTGATAAAACTTGTTATTTTCAGGGCAATAGCACTTATAACTTTTGTGATGTGAAGAATAACCGAGAAACACACCACGAACGGACCTCTTATCCAATTTACCTCTTGTGTGTTTGTGAAGATGGATAAAAACAGTACACCCAAAAAATTTTTGTGGTAAATTAGATATGAGGCGACAGTGAGGATAAACTTCAAGAAGTTTTTGAGTTGGAGTGGAAAAATTTAGAACTTTGGAAGGGAGCTTATTTATCAGATAGGCTGCTGTAAGATCAGCATCACCCTAAAATCGTTTTAGCATGCTTGTAGAAAATAACAAAGATCGGCCAACTTCAAGGATATGTCTATTCTTTCGCTCAGCAGTTCCATTTTGTTGTCGGTATCAACACATAAGCTTTGGTGAATGATACCCTCACTCAAAAAGTAATTGCTAAGAGTAGAATTAAAGAACTCCTTGCCATTGTCAGTTCTTAAAATCTGAATTTTAGAATTAAATTGGGTTTGAATCATGATATTAAAGCTTTTGAAAATTTGAGAGACCTCATATTTGTGTTTCATGAGAAATATCCATGTGAGTCGAGTATGATCATCAATAAATGAAACAAACCACCGAGCATTAGTGATATTAGGAGTTTGTGATGGTCCCCAAACATCACTATGCACCATAGAGAATGGCTTGGTTGACTTATAAAACTGATTTGGAAAACTGGTACGAGAATGTTTAGAGAATTGACAAATATCACATTGGAAATCACCAGGACTTTTATTACTGAACAATGATGGAAACAACTTAATAAGATACATAAAGTTTGGATGACCTAGTCTATAGTGCCATAACATAACATCCTGACTTGGACTAGACACTCTAACAGACTCATTTTTGCAAACACTGTTGACATAAGAACTACTACTCACTGCTGTTGATGCTTTACTTATTGGAGAGGGTTGAACTTCTAGAAAATAGAGTCCTGCATAGCCTTTAGCACTGCCAATCATCTTCCTCGAGTGCAAATCCTGAAAAACACAAGCATTTGATCGAAAATCAGCCGCACAATTCAAATCCTTAGTGAGTTTACTTACTGATAAGAGATTGCAGGTTAGCTTAGGCACATACAAGACTGAATTCAAATCCTTAGTGAGTTTACTTACTGATAAGAGATTGCAGGTTAGCTTAGGCACATACAAGACTGAATTCAAAGTTAAATCGGCAGAAATAATTACGGAACCAATCCCCATTACTTTAGACAAGGATCCATCCGCTATTCGTACATGAGGACTATTGCTATAAGCTGAAAACTGATTGAAAAGTTTTCTATTACCAGTCATGTGATCCGATGCTCCGGAATCCACAATCCATGAATGAGATGTGCCTTGATTTGTAGCTAGTGCAGTAAGAAAATTACCTTTTTGTGCAACCGTCCCTGAACCTATTATCATTTGGCTGGGCTGTCCCTGAGCAATGAGTTTCTTCAGTACTTCCAATTGTTCCTTGCTGAATGGTTCAGCCACAGAAGAGGATGATAGATTGGCTTTGCTATCTCGTTCCTTGGCTGGTTTCCAATCCGTCGGTTTCCCATAAATTTTCCAGCACTTGTCCTTGATATGGCCAGGTTTTCGACAGTGATCACATCATGACCGGCCTCCTTTTCGTGCCTCCGAAGTACTGCGTGCTGCCAAGACTGAAGCCTCACCTCCAGCTTCCTTTGGTTCTTTAGATTCAGCCCCTAGCATCAAGGTTCTGCGACTCTCTTCACGTCTGATTTCAGAAAATGCCTCTCGAAGATTAGGCAGTGGTTTTGTCCCAAAAATCCTACTCCTCGCAGCATCAATATTTGAATTTAATCCCAAACAAAACTTGTACACCCTTTTTGTCTCAATAATCTTCTTATATTGTTGTGAATCATCAGCAGTGCTCCACTTGTATTTCTCAAATGCATCAAATTGTTGCCAGTATCGTTGAAGCTTATTGTAATAATCTGTCGCTGAGAGATCACCCTGCCTCAAATTATGCAACGCACCTTCGATTGTTACAAGTTCAGGAGTATTATCTTTGTGGGAGTAAGTTTCCTTTGTTGTCTCCCATACCTCTGCTGTTGTTTCAAGTAGAAGAAAATTTTCTCCAATGTTAGGCATCATGGAGTTTATCAGCCAAGACATTACCTGGCTATTCTCCTTCTTCCAAGTTCGATATTCATCTGCCGTCTCCTCCGGTTTGGTGACTTCATTGGTAAGATAACCCTCCTCTCTACTGTAGATATACAAGAGCACCGATTGGGACCACTG